TTGACATTTTAATCATGTTTTTATTCACAGAAAATGAAAGTCATTGTTTAGTAATATTTTACCATCAGGAAAGCGTTTTATCCCTGTGTGTGTGTGTGTGTCTGTATCTGTGACATAAACCACCTCTTCTGTTTTTATCATCAGGGTTTCAAAACTTCTACTGCTGCTGTTTTGCTTGATCAAATATTGCGGTCAGTATCATTATTGTTGTTAAACTGTAACAATGTTTAATTTTCATTTGCCTGTAGAGTTGATTTAGTCGATTGTGCAAGTGACCTTGCTTGACATTCGTGTGTTAATAATGGAAATTACCCAGCATCATCTACTGACATGACATCATCAGTTCATCTATTCATAAACACGTTCAGGAATTCACTATAAGTGCTGTATTTTAGCAGCCAAATTTCTTTGTAATGATTTTCTGATCTTCCCCTGTTCATAAATGAAGCTCTGAAAGGCCAATAAGACACAATACTGTCCTAAAGTAGATCAGGTATACCTGTGAATAAAGTGAGAATAATCAGCTGGGATTTAGACACATACGGTGTTTAAAATACATTAAATGTATTTTTGCCATTTTGGACTTTTTGACCAGTTTTTATTTTTTTTATTTTGCTGTTTTAGTCATGTACAGCAGGTATTGATTCTTTGTTTGTACTGAATGAGTATTTTTCTGTGTGTTTGCAGAAACCAATCCTGTAGGAAACACCGCTCGATCTGTGACGGGGAAGAAAGGAGAAAACGCCACCCTGTCGTGTGAATTTGAGGACAGAGACATTTCAGATATTGTTTTAAGCAGACTCTCAAAAAAAATCCTTGTTTGTGAGAATGAAAAATGTAAGAGTGAAAATAGCAGATTATTTAAAAAAGGATCATGTGACGTCGTCATCAAGGATCTGATCTACAGTGACGCTGGGAAATATATTTTAAGAGTCTATTACACCAATGATCAGACAGGAGTGACGCAACAGATCAGGGAATATCATCTTCATATTCACGGTAAAGTCAAAACTGTGTTTTCTGGATGTCCTTCAGTGATAGTGTTGGTCTTGCAGGGTCTGTAACCGTCAGAGACACTGAATGGGACACGTCCCGCATAATATAAGATCAGTCGTCTCCAATATGGGGTTTCCCATGGCTGATTTTTAAATGTTTACATTTGTTCCCTTTAATCCTTAAAGCTACACTGTGTTCCTGGGTTTCCCCATGCCTTAGCGCGGCGCGGTTTTATTCACGCTGTAGGCAGTCTGGATACCATGGACCAGATTTTCGCCTCAGCGAGGGAACCAATCACAGGACGGGGAGGGAGCAGCAACACGATGATGACGTCTATGCGACACACCGGAGCAGTTTGTTTATCCCTATGGATCCAACATGGCAGCAGACGCGAAGTTACCTCATGTTTGTCTTGCACAAACGGCAATAGTCGCTGAACGCCATCGTGTACACATAAATCTCTGACCCATCGTCTTCTTCCTCGTCGAACTTCTTTCGCTCTACATACGTCATCTGGTATAATGGAAACGATTGGCTATGAGCTACGTACAGGCGCATTTGATAGACATTCGTAGCACCCAATAAACGGCTTTGGGCGTTCATAAACCACGCCTCAAATACGAGAAAATGAACATGTGGTTCCCAGACCACGTCTCACGTTAGCCAGGCTAGCACTGTGTGGGATTTTCTCCCATCTAGCGGTGAAATTGTATATGACTACCAGCTGAATATTACTATAGTTCCTCCCATCCCGAGGGCGTTTTAACTCCTACGGTGGCCGTATTATTTCAAATCTGCCGGCAGTCGTGAGTAATCTCCCCTCGCATTCGTCACGCTGCGACTGTGTGTAAAAACGCGAAAGGCGAAGCTTGAATTTCCAGGTATGTCCCTCTTTGGTTAATGTTTTTTCAAGATGGATGCGCAACATGGCCGCCGGCACTTGAGCGACTCGCTCCTATGTATTCTGTATTCTGAATGGCAGATTCTACGCTTACGAGAATACTAGTTGGTAGAAGTAATTACACATTAATGAGCACATATAATTTTAAAAGAACAAAGTGTTTTTTGCTAAGAATCAACTTAAAAAAACCACAGTGTAGCTTTAATATTTCTTATGTCTTGATTCATTGACACATTATAATAATGATGAATGTCTCTGTGTGTCCTCAGATGAGATCTCTGTGAAGAAAGGAGAGGATCTGAAGTTGGATGTTCTGTTCTCTAACGCTTATAAAGTGGAGAAAAACTGTAATGAAGGCTGGACAGAGGTGTGGAGGAGAGGTCACGGGGTCAGCAGTGATCGACTGACTGATCATGATGGAAATCTGACTATTAATGAGTTTACAGTCACTGACACTGGAACATACAGAGCTCTGGACTCTAATAATGAAGCCTTGATCACAGTCACAGTCACAGGTGAGAGAAGATCAGTGGAGGAGCAGAAATATTATTATTTAAAACATTTGGACAGATAAGGATTATTCATCATGATTTGAACAGCAAATGTTAAACTGTGTGAGTAACCTTTGATATTCTCTACAGAATCTGGTACACACTTGAGAACGAAGACAGATGATCCCAAAGCTAATGACACTGAACATAGTAAGTAAAACAGGAGACATTGAGAGATTTACACAATCTTTAACCAGTGAGTTTAATAAAGAGAAAAACATTTTAAAAACTGTGTTCTCTTCCTCCTTCCAGATATAAGGTTCTGGACTTTGTCTGTGGGACTGCCGGTGCTTCTGGCGTTCTGCCGGCTCTGATTATATTTACTGCCATCAAGAAACACAAATGTTTGATCAGGAAAACACATAATTCCTCATGTTGATCATGACCAAAGTATATGGTACAGTAGTCCAGAACATCTAGTAATGTCACTGCCTTCAGAACCAACAGATCTGCACTGGATTCTGTCAACATTTCTGCAATATGTATTTCATTTACCACATTTGGACTGCATTCCTACACGATATTCTGTTTGTTTACTGGTTAAAGTGACCTATAAAGATCAGCTGGAAACTGAAAGGTGACCAATTCTAATTCATAAACGAGGAATTGTTTCTATCAATTATTGTTAAAAAAAATTCTTAAAGTATTCACAGTATTAACAGTGAACAAGCATGTATGTGTCATATTGTGAAAGACAGAAAGTGTAGTTATGTCATTTTTTTTCTTTTTAAATATGTGTTTAAATAATATGTCATGTGTTCATTCCTGTGCATGAAATGGTGAATGATGAAAGTTGCATTATTCCTCATAAATATGCTTTGAAAGAGTATGTATTGTGGAAAAAAAGAAACAAACCACTTTTGTTAGACACATTTCTGTTAGTATTGTTTAGTTGATATTTATTTTTGCACAAACTTTAAAGTAATATTTTTTACTATGTTCATAATTATTTGTAATATTATGATTCTACAAAGTTTGAATGGTTTACGTTTGCTGCATTCACAAACTCCTCAGGCTCTGTGAAGCTCAGACTCAGAACACGGTGAATGTGAAGTTTCTGATCATTAAATGTGTCGTTACGTGTTAATAATCTGCTTTATGATGTCAAAATGTTTCCCTCCAGTATTTATTATCATTATGTATTCACTGATTTTTACTGTTATTGTTATTTTGTATTTAAGTAATAAATAAAAATAAAGAATAAAACAAATAAAGAATAAGAAAGGTTTTTGTAAAGATGTTTTTCAATGAGTAAAATAAGGTCTGTGGTAAGCGGGTGTACCATAATATATCTTGGTTACACTTTATTTTAAGGTGTCAAAATAAAAGTCACAGTATTAAAGTTAATTGTTGAATTCATTTGCGAATTATTAAATAAATAATTTATCATGTCAGCCACTGAACATCATGCTGTATTATGTACATAGTTTGACAGCTTAATCTGCTTTGAAAGAATAACCAGTAGAAGAAAATAATGACCAATCATACTATAAATAATGCCCAAATAATATTTTTCTTTTTCTTGAAACGCTCATCTTTGTGGGATACTTTTGATTAGTGACGGGGGAAACTGAACAAAACTGTTCCAGAAACTGTAAATGCAGCGAAAACTATCAAAACATGCATAAACACCTTTACCAACCAATTACAAATGTTTTATTGAAAGTGAAATCTATTAAATGCATTTAACAAATCATATAATACCATTAAATATGAAATTTCTGTATAATATGTGTTATTTTATTAAATTGTAGGGCTTGTTTAATGAAGAGCTTTAAAATAAATCAAATATTCTTAACTCAAAAGCTTAGTTTTTATTATACAAATGTGTCATTAAAATAAAACTTGAAACTGATGAACTGGTTTATGCGAGCTGTTGAAAAGGATACTTGATGTATTAGATGCATGATTGAGTTTTGATATAAGATGCAGAATTTTGATTGTTTTTGTTATAGATTTTTTATTCCCATAATGTTATATATATATAACTGCATTGTGGGAGTTTGTCTTACATACAAATGCGTCCTAAAGTTATTTTCTGTCTTTTCTTGGTCAAGAGGGCACCAAATTCAAAATTTCTTTTACATTTCGATATGACCCACACTTTCAATAAAGATTAATGTTGAAATGGGTGAAGTGCTCCTTTAAGATTGACTGCTCTTTTTACAAAAGAGCAGTCACACTAGCAACTTATTATGTAAATCTTCCGAGCCCGACTGCTTAACCTGCTTTGAAAGAATAATCAGTAAAGGAAACTAGTGACCAATAGACGACTCCTCATGAATAATGATAACACTCTTCCTGAGAAGGAGGTGCACACCTTTGCTTGTGTCTGGAAGCTGGAGCTCAGCTGTGTGATGCTTTTGGTTTCGCTTTGACTCGATTCGCTAAACATGTTCACAAAGTTTTGATGCCTGAAAACTAGACTCATGCCGCATTTTTACCATGTAAGTTTTAAGCTGGGTCAATGGGTCCATAATTTTGATTATGATGATTATGATTATGATGGCTTTTATTAGTGTGATTATTATTAGTGAGACTGTCACGATTCAAATTAAAGTTTGATGTTTCATTTTGGACATTTTTATCATGTAAGATCTATGTTAAATATTTAGACTAATTGAAAATGAATGTTTAGTATTATTTTACCGCTCATGAAAGTGTTTTATCGCTGTATGAGTGTGTCTGTGATGTGTGTCTGTGTCACATGGGCTAAACCAGCTCTTCTGGTTTCTCAACAGGTTTTTGAAACTTCTGTTGTCGCTGTTTTGCTTTATCAGTCATTGTGGTCAGTATCATTTTTGCTTGTAAATTTTAACAATTCTTTATTTTTAATGTTATAGGAATTCTAGGTAGAATTAATTTTATTCTGTCTATATTTGCAGGAACCACTCCTGTACCTGTGACGGGGGGGAAAGGAGGCGACGTCACACTGACATGTGAATCTGAGGCCAGAGAGATTTCTGCTATAGCTTTAAGCACTCGGTCAAAAAACATCCTTGTCTGTGAGAGAGAAGAATGCGAGAGTGAAAACAGCAGAGTGTTTAAAGAAGGATCATGTGACATCATCATCAAGGATCTGAGATTCAGTGACGCTGGGAAATACTTTCTGAGAGTCTACAATGATGATCAGACAGAAGTGGAGCGAGAAACCCTGGAATACCAACTTCATATTCATGGTAAAGTCAAAACTGATCAAACCATCAGCTTGTGCTTTCTGGATTTCCTCATAAATAACATTGCAAACCAGCAAAGATAGTAAATGTCACTCATCCCATCAAATATCCAGATTGATATGCTTTTCAGTGGCTTATTTTTAAAATGATTACATTTTGTCCTCTTGGTACTAAATTGTGCTTATGGCATTGATTGATTGACACCATTATTATAATGCTGAATGTGTGTGTGTCCTCAGATGAGATCTCAGTGAAGAAAGGAGAGGATCTGAAGTTGGATGTTGTGTTGATCAACGCTGATAAAGTGGAGAGAAACTCTCGCTCCGGCTGGACAGAGGTGTGGAGGAGAGGTCACGGGGTCAGAGGTCACGGGGTCAGCAGTGAACGACTGACCGTCAGTGACCAGACTCTGATCATTCATGACTTTACAGTCACTGACACTGGAACATACAGAGCTCTGGACTCTAATAATGAAGCCTTGATCACAGTCACAGTCACAGGTGAGAGAAGATCAGTGGAGGAGCAGAAATATTATGTTTAATACATCATGAGCTTGGGTTTTTCTCTTTCAAACCGTAGTTAAACTGTATGACTAATCTTTTCATATCTACAGAATCTGGCTCCACAGGAGAACACACAGGTAACAGAAGAACAGTAAAATAAGAGGCTGTTTAAAAAAAAAAAAAAAAGAGTTTAAAATGTAAAATCTATCCTCTCTTCTCAGCTTCCGCCCATCCTGATCGAGAACCTTTGAGTTGGCCAGAGAAAGTGAATGGGATTTTTGTGATTACAATATTTATTGCATATATAGTGATTATGGTTCTTCAAATTGTGTTGAGGATTGCTGGAAGGTTCTGATGAGGTTACTTGTAATTTTCCTTGAGCACTAAACATATCTTCAGAGGGTTCTGTCTACATATTTCTCCTATATATACTATATACTCCAAGATTTGATTAGTTTCAAGTGGCCTAGTTAAAGATCTGGACTATAGTAACTGAAGGGTGACCAATCCTATTTCTTGAACTAGTTTTTGTTGAATATTAACTATTGTTTCTAAAGAGTTAGGAAAGTATTTATAGTAAAAAAAAAAAGAGAAGAAAAAAAAGAAAAGGAAAGCATTTATAAAGATTGTAGAAAATATTTGTTTAAATAATATTAATTATTTAATATATATATATATTAAAAATATAACTTAAATAAGAAAGAATTGTTATATATATATATATATATATATATATATATATATATATATATATATATATATATATATATATATAACAATTCTTTCTTATTTAAGTTATATTTTTAATTACATTTCTATTTAATCTTTATTTTCCTGTTTATCACTGTGAAGCTGCTTAATATTCTACAGATTTATTGATCTGACTGCTTTGAAACAATCTGTCAAAAGCTCTAGAAATATATGTGATTGATTGAGGAAGGTTGGAATCACTACACAACGTCTTCACATATTTTATATGAATCATACACTTTCTGCCTTTTGGAAATGGTTAAAAAATTGGACATCACACACTAGACTTTGTACATTATTCCAAGAACAACAAACTTGTTCCGTGCCAATCATACACTATGAGATTTTCTGTGAGATCTCTCGGCTCAAATCTGCAGTCTGGCTCGGACTTTTACATTGTGTCTTTTTTTTTTTTTTACCTAACTTAAAAACAAATAAGGCAAACTATCACATTCAACTTTTTAAGTTAACTCAACTAATCTGCTGTCAACTTAAATACTTCTGTTCATCTAATAAATAACAGGTAGTCTTATGAACTAAAAAGTTATTGTCATGGCAACTACAGATTATTTAGCATTTAGCAATCAGCATCAATTCTTTCATCTCCATGTCTGATTTTTAAAGCAAACTAAATGAACATTACCACAGTCATAACAACAGCAGCGGCAGCTTTAATTACTAATTAAGCCAGTAAATGCAAAGCAAAAATAAAGATTTTTCATGCCAAAATGCATGCTGGGAAATGCCACAAAATTGTTAAACTTAAAATTGTTTGTTCACATAACTCCATTGGAAAGTTGGGACAACATTTAGACTTAATTAAGGTCAACTTAAGGTTAAAGTTCAGTGATGTCAACAAAACTTTTGTTAGCAACATGTTTAGAGTATTCTTATTTAGTTCACACAACATAATAAACTGACTTTGTTCAAGCTACTTTACATTTGTTAGAAGAATTTTGCAAGTTAGATTTTTTACCGTCCACTCGTTCAGACTGTGAATCGGGTCAAATGTCAGTGTATTCCAGCCTTAAAATGATAATCATTGTAGAGATTTTTTGACAACTGTATGTATTTGTATATAACTATACAAATTAAACAACATTTGTAAGTAATACTTTTGTTGGTATGCATTTTTTTGTATATATATGCATTTTTGTGTTTTTTATATATTCTAATATGGTGAAACAGAGGATGTTTCGAGAGTTTACTCCTGTTGCATTTACTTAAAAAATAAAAAGGAAGTTTCATAACTTTCCGCAACAGATTAAAGCAGCATGAGCTGAAATGTGCAGCTAACTGTGATCTGAAATGATCCAGGATCTGGTTTAAAATAATTCAGTCGTTCTGAACATGTGGTACTCAGCACTTACAGAGATTTACCATCTCACTCTCTAATTTACCACCTGTATTATGTTGGTGTCTTGTACAGTTCTAGATTGGTGTATTTGCATAATATCACTTTAATGAAATATATGGTGGTAAGCTGTAAAACATACAGGCGTCATTATGCAATCCAGTAACATTGTCATCGTATTTTTGCATGGTGAATTTTTGGCAACTACTATTGCTGTTTTTTTAACCATAATAATCACAAATCATGTATAAATATGATGACTTCAAAAGTATGCGATACAAAGTTGGAATTATGATTTGAAAAGTCGAAATTATGACTCAAAAATAATTATGACAGTCCAAATGACGTAATGTCACATCTGTCAGCTGCGGTGCCCTTATGTTCCAGCAGAGCCTCGTCCCTCACTGTCTCCACACACAATGCTCAATATTAGTTTGTCTTGTTAATCATATCTTTTCCCTGTTTATTTAAATGGATTTTGCCCTGTATTGAGTATGAAGTCTTGTTTGTATTTGTTTGCATGTTACTGTGTCTGCATTCCCGAGCAGTCTCTATGTTTCTGTGATTATCTCTGCCTGAGTCTTGGATTTCTCGTTGCTGTCTGCCTCAGTGGATTATGTGTGTTGATAACGTGTTGTTTGACCCGGTCTCGATTACCAGTGAGAGTGCCCATCATTACCAGCAGAGGGCACTCCAACCCGACTATTATCATTCCCTAATGAAACTACATTTCCCATAACTCTCTGATGGGTTCAAAATGTAGTTTCATTAGGGAATGACAATAGTCTGGAGTGGAGTGCCCTCTGCTGGTAATGATGGGCGCTCTCACTGGTAATCGAGACAGACCCTCTGGTATGGACTATGAGTTTGGATTATACTACTTATTATAGACTACTGATTATAAACTGTATTTGGGTCCTCCCAACCTGCCACTTCTATCTAAAAATCTGTCTTTTTACAGTTGCTGAATTGCTTGCACACTCAATCTGTCTCTGACATTTTTCAGTCTGGCTGAACCCTTCACAGCACGGAGTCTGCTCTTTAAAAAGTTAAAATATAATTATATTTTAACCCTCTGGGGTCCTTCGGCCCAAATGGACCCGAAGCATTAAAATATTTTTTTATTTAAAAATCATAGCTTTATCGGAATGGTCCGAAATTTGGTGACTTTGTTGGTACTTGGTATATGAACACCCAAAAAAATTGGGGACAGGATTTGAATAGTCTAAGTGGTTGTAAAAAAAATAGTCACACTCAGGACCTTCGGGTCCAAATGGACCCGCATAGGAAATGAATGGGAAATTGGCAAAAATGTGAAAATACAGAGTTTTTTTGTGTGTACAATCTACAAATCAGCCACGATCCAGAAAAAAAGCACACAGCAGTGAAGGGGTGAATCTATAAAACATCAAGAGTGCAAAACAGACACATCCACACACACACACACACACACACACACACACAAACACACTTTTATACACATACACACTAATAAATTTAGATTACATATGGGTTTTGAATTTTTAAAATGCTCAGTTTGTCCACCAGATGGCATCCATCTCATTTCAAAAATTGCTTTCATGAGGCCTAGGCTTGACTCTAAAATGAAATACAGCTTTAAAAAAAAATAAAAAAAAAAATAAAACATTTTCTATTATATTCAATGGGGGAAAAAATGGGTCATAATTATTGCATTAATATTAATTATAAATCAGTTTTATATTTGAAATTATCTCAAAACACCAAAAAAGAAAAGAAAAAATATTATAAAAAACAAGTAAAAAAAAAAAATGATGATTTTTTTTTTATAAATATTAATCCCACCCTTCCGGCCCATTTGGACCCGAAGGTCCTGAGTGTGACTCTGAAATGAAGGACCCCAGAGGGTTAATGACTACAGGCGATGAAGACACCATGGCTTTAGTGCTATTAGACTTGAGCTTGACTTCTCACTTTGTAGATCACATGATATAAATCTCGACTGAAGAGTTTGATTGGCATCACAGGTACGGTTCTCAAATGGTTCCAGTCACACTAATCTAGGCCTAATAGAAGTTTATCTGTTCGCTGCGCTCCTTTATTCTCGGCAGGGATCAATTTTGGCATCCCTACTATTCTCATTATACATGCTACCCTTGGGATCAATTATGAGTAGATTTGGTGTGTCGTACGGTACCTCTGTTATGCTGATGACACCCAACTCTGTAATACCTGTAAAACATAAAGATAACAATAGTTTAGAAGTCAATATGACTATGATGCAGAAATCTTGATCACAATCACAGGTGAGAGAAGCTCTGTGGATATGTAGAAATAACTATTTTTGAAACATTTGGATAGCTGACATGATGAAAAACAGACACTGCAACTTTTCAAGCAAACTTTTCAGGATATTTAAAAATGTTTGCAGCACATATGCCATATAAATTTGCGTTTTTGAGAGATAAGTCTAATTTTAGCATTACATCCAGAAAAAGGCTGAATAAAGTGAAATGTTGACAAAAAACATAGCTATAGCCTAGGCTATTTTTGTTCCCCTCACTCCACAACAAATGTTTTAAATTTAACAGTAGGCTATTCAGAAAAATATAAGTAGGCCTAGTATAAGCTTAATATAACGTCAAGCCAACACGAATTAATTTAAGGCTAAACTGAAACCGAAACTGTTCTTTGTCTTATTTGGGCATGTTCCTCCCAAGGGATCCCAGTGTAATCCGCGACGTCACTAAATGAAGGAATGCCTTTTCTGCTGGTATGTGTTTTCACGGTTTTCACACACTGTAAGACACGCGACCCAAGAAACAGCTCGCGTGTGAGCGATACTATCAGATTTGTTTTCATTCATTTTTCTCTCCTTGTCACCGCTCGCTAATCTTGCAATAATTTATGACGTTTTGACGCCTGATCAAAAGACTCAAACAGATCATGTAAGTTTTCATGTTTTAAAATATAAAATATAAATTTCATGTTATAAAATGTCTTTTTGTTAATAGCCTAAGCTAACTTAGTTGTCTAATCGCGCTATTTATTGATGCGGAAATGAGTCAGCAGGTTTACGACGAACATATCCATCATTGTGATTATGATTATGGTTGTTATTAGCCTAGTGGGGTTATTAATATAATTAGATCATCACTGCATTTCTAAAGCGTGTTGCTTGTGTATTGAGTTTGACTGATTATTTTCAGTATTACACAGGAATCATTAAAGTAAAGATTCATATTATAGTTTGATGTTATTAGGTTAGTCATTTTTATCATGTAAGATGTGCATGTTAAATATTCAGAAAAAATGAAAGTGAATGTTTAGTAATATTTTACCGCTCAGGAAAGCGTTTTATCCCTGTATAAATGTCTTTGTGATTTATTAGCCTGAATATGTGACATAAAGCAGCTCTTCTGTTTTCTCATCAGGTTTAGATGGTTGAATCTGCTTCTGCTGTTTTGCTTTATCAAATATAGAGGTCAGTATCATATTTGTTTATAAATTAAATTTTTTTTTGATCTTTAGTTCCGGGTAGAGTTGTTGTAGTCGATTGTTTCTCTGTCGTATCATTCAGCCAAGAGACTTTGGTTGATGGTGGAAATCCCCCAGCATATTACATTATCATACCACATCCAGACTTAATCCATTTCATTCCAGTTCAATCGTCTGTTTGCTTGCAAAGGCCAATAAGAAATAATAGTCTAAATAGCTGAACAAGCTAACTCTGAAGGAAGTGAGATTAATAATTTATATTGTCTGTATTTGCAGAAACCACCATTGCAGGAAATATCCTTATACATGTGACGGGACAAAAAGGAAAAAACGCCACTCTGTCATGTAATATTGACGCCAGAGACATTATTGATGTTATTTTAAACAGTCAGTCAAAAAACATCCCTGTCTGTGAGAAGAAAAACTGTAGTGGACGACTATTTAAAGAAGGATGTGACGTCGTCATCAAGGATCTGATCTTCAGTGACGCTGGGAAATACATTCTGAGAGTCCATTACAATAACACTCCAGAGCCACAGATCAGGGAATACCATCTTCAAATTCATGGTAAAGTCAAAACTGATCAAACCATCAACTTTCCTTCAGTGATTGTGTTGGTATTCCATGAATTCCTGTAATCATCAGAGACACTGAATGTGACACGCACCGCTTATTCAGATTAGTCGTCTCCAATATGGGGTTTTCCAATGTCTTGCATTGGAATATTGGAATACCGTAGATTACATTTGTTCCCCTTAATCATAAATATGTGTTTATGGCCTTGCCTGATTGACACCATTATAACAATGATTGAGGATAAAGTGTCTTTCTGTTTGTCCTCAGATGATATTTCTGTGAAGAAAGGCGAGAAAGTAAAGTTGGATGTTCTGTTGATCAACGCTGATAAAGTGGAGAGAAACTCTCGCTCCGGCTGGACAGAGGTGTGGAGGAGAGGTCACGGGGTCAGCAGTGATCGACTGAATGATCGTGATGGAAATCTGACCATTAATGAGTTAACAGCCAATGACACTGGAACATACAGAGTTCTGGATTCAGAAGGAGAAACCTTGATCACAGTCACAGTCACAGGTGAGAGAAGAGCAGAGATATTTGACCTTATTTTACAGCTGACGTTTATTCATCATGATTTGAACAGCAAATGGTAAATTATATGACTAAAGGTCCTGATATACTCATGAAGAAGTTCTTTTTCATTATTCAATTAGGGGTCAAACGAAGTTTGAAATGCGCGAGGAGCGATAAACTGCTATCGAACATCTGCTGAGAGCAGCGTTTATATGAATATATAAATATGTGCTGCACGCTTTCCTTTCAATAACAAAATAAACACACAACGAAACTGAGAAAACAGCAAGTATCTTTAAAGGGATAGTTCACCCAAAAATGAATATTCTGTCAGTAATTACTCTCCCTCATGTTGTTCCAGACCCGTAAGACCTTCGTTCATCTTCAGAACACAAATTAAGATATTTTTTATTAAATCTGAGAGCTGGATCACTCCTCCATAGTAAGGTGACGTAATGTAACAGCGCAGCGCTTCTGTGTTGTACGTCAGAACGTAGGCTCACTATTGGCCGACGCTGGTCATGTGTGTGTGATGCTGGCCAATAGTGAGCCTTCGTTCTGACGTACAACACAGAAGCGCTGCGCTGTTACACTACGTCAACTCACTCGAGGCCCACAAAGAAGATTAATAGTTATTTTTGTTTTCTTTGCACAGAAAAAGTATTCTCGTCGCTTGATAAACTTAAAGGGATACTTCACCTCTGGAAAGATGAATGTGTATTTAAAATGGGTCATTTATGTAGAAGAAATGTGAAATTATTTTTGAATTTGGAGCTTTCTAGACTGAGAAAAGCCAGAAAATGTATTTTTGGCTTATGTGGATGAAAGACAACAACTCCCAGAATGCACTTGCTTCGCTGCCCTAGGAGGCCACGCCTACCGGTAACAAGCGCAGTAGTTAAACAACAAGTCTAGGCTACTAGTGAGTCTCCGTGATGAGTCTGCCGGGGATTTCGAGATCGCCCAAAATGTCCGGGATTCGACTTTTGCGTTCTACAGTCGCCATTCATCATGTTTACTGTGGTGAGCAGGACGAGGCCGGTGGCGTGATTACTGATGAGCAACACCTGTGAGACGCACCGGTCTCGTATCTCTCACGGAGGAGCGGGAATTTTCTTAGCAATGTTAAAATGCACATCAACCGATCACTTGTTTAGCATTCATGTAAACACTACATTCAGATTCACCAATCGGAATGAATTCAGTTAGATTAAAACAAAAGGTGTGCATGTAAACAATGAATGGCGACTGCAGAAAGCAAAAGCTGAATCCCGGACATTTTGTACGATCTCGACGGCCGGACATGTCCGGGAAAAAGATGGTAACCCCTACTACTCAGCTTTCTCCACAGAACAAGAGCCTGCTAGCTTAGCTTCCAGAAAAAGATGGCTGACACTATGGGCCCTATCTTGCACTCGGCGCAAATGACTTTGTACACTGACGCATGTATCATTCCTATTTTGCACCCACGCAAAGCGGACTTTTCCCTCCACAGACGCACGTCGGTTAACTAAGAAATACACTTGCGCTCCCCGGGGCGGTTCAGCGCAAAGAGGAGGCGTGTTCCGGCGCAAACTTTCCCTCATGCTATTTTGCTGTTCTATAAAACAATTGCGCCACTGACCAGAAAAAAATAGTCTAAAGTCAGTTGCGCGTTGTTCATTATGCTATTTTAACGGCGCATGCTTGGCCATAATCAATGTAGCGTGTGCACAACGCGCATACACGTTGATTCTCTCATCTAAGCAGCAGTTTTCATTTTTGCAAATCATACATTATTACGATAGATAGATAGATAGATAGATAGATAGATAGATAGATAGATAGATAGATAGATAGATAGATAGATAGATAGATAGATAGATAGATAGGCAATTTATTATAAAAGCATACATGTAGCTTACACATTTACCCAAATTATCATACGCCTGTTTAACAGAAGTTAATTTGGGTGGGTTTCTACATCCCCAATGTCACTTCTCTGTGTTTTACGGCCCTGACGAGAACGTTGCTCTCCTCGGCTGTGAACCGCTCCTGGCGCGCGCCTGGCCAATCCACCGTTATAATAGGAATCCGCTTTAGAACAAGCGCGCCTGCTCTTAAAGGGAATGTGAGATGACGCTCTGATTGGTTTATTTCACGTTACGCCCAAACCACACCTATGAATAATGAAGCTGCAAGCAAGAATTGATCCCATAGAAGCCTATGAAGGAGTGAGACAGCTCTCAGATTTAATAAAAAAATGTGTGTTCTGAAGATGAACGAAAGTCTTACAGGGTTGGAACAACATGAGGGAGAGTAATTACTGACAAACTTTTCAATTTTGGGTGAACTAAAGCATAAGTAAAGCATCTGATCAGTGGTTATGTTTGCACGAGCTCTACGGCACTACAGTAATGTCGTGCCACATTTATTTATATATCACACAAGAATAGATTGCTTAAATTCAAGCAGCGTTACCATATTAAACATGCAAACTGTGTCTGTCTCATTTCATTAAAAGTACAACTTCATTTTTTACTATAAAGCAGCTCTCCAGTGTGTTCATGATTTCAGTCGCAGTGTGAAATCGTCTCACTGAACAGGCCAAATGAACCAGAAAAGATTTTCACGTGAAAGAAGGCGGAGCCTCCGCACACACCTACAGTCAAACCAAAAAATGATTCAGGCATTTTTAGTGTGCAGGACACTATAGTTCATTTATGTAAGTGAGGAGAGCAAAATAAAGTAAACTGTGACATAATATACCCAAATATTCTTCATACAGTGACTACCAGTGACATTTATAAACATTTGGGACCAAAAATTATTCAGACACTTTGGGCTGATCATGTTTTTCTCAAAGTTATCTGACATTATCAAGATGAATTTGTTCTGACACAGTTTAACCCTGAGTTATCATATTTTATTATCATTTTCTAAGCTATAGCGAATAAATGTGATAATGTGAGAAATGATAAAGGAGTCTGAATTCATTTTGGTTTGACTGTACCTATAACGTAATCACCACGCTCCAATGGTGTTTACCAGCCGAAGTGAAATTTTCCGGAAAGTTCACTTTCAAGCTGTTTCGAACTCGGCCTGATTTTGTTCGAAATAACGTCACATCAGTTCGTTCTTCGATTTCGCTTGAAGTATATCGGGGTCTTAACCTTTCAATCTCCTCTACAGAATCTAGAACAGACTCAGGATCACCAGGAGAACGCAAGGATGGCACTGAACCTCGTAAGTAAATCAGGAGGCGTTGAGAGCTTTAGAAAATCTTTAAGCAGTGAGATTAAAAAAGCATTTTAAAAGCATTAAGCATTTTAAAAGTTCTCTTCCCACCTTTCTCCTTCCAGCTGCAGTGTATTGGTTCTTGCGTGTTGGACTGCCTCTGATTCTGCTGGTTCTGCTGGGTGTGATTGTCTTTTTTGTCATCAAGAAACCCCAGTGTCTGAATGATCTTTACTCGCAGCCGCCGGATCAGAATGCAGAGGAACCAGGCCTTTAATAATCTCTCCTGAGGGCCCGTGCGGCGCAGGATTGAACATCCAGCGATTTATAATTCACCTTCAGAGTCAACAGTTTTACCGAGGATTCTGTCAACATACACCATACCGCAGGTGTGAGATACATATCATCATATCATCAGTGCACACTTTCACTGTGTGATGCAGACTAGTAAAATACAGTCAGAATGACCCTGGAATTCAAGATATGAGATCAAAATACCCCTGTATGAGTCTTATATTTATATCATATTATATAGTAGTTACAGGTGGCATCGGATGCCTATTTTCCACAAGTTGGTGTGATTCTTTAGGGTCTTCATGTAAAGTTTGTTTGTAACATACTTTGGTTAAAATTCCTCAATGGTTGTGTAAAACAACACCATATGGGCGGCGCATGAGCATTATGACATCACAGTGCTCAGAAAATCCAAACGGCTTGATTATTGAGAGTGTTAAGGCTTTTTGAGGATAAAAAAAAGGAGTGAATGGATTTTTTTCATTGTATTGTGTCCACACACTGCAAAGACACATTTAAATGCAAAATGAATTTTGCATTCGACTGCCCCTTTAAGCACATCTGTTTTTTGCTCTATTTCACAAATGAAAGTTCCAACTAATTCCACAGCAGAACCGTTGTGGCCGAAGCACAGTGACGTTTCATTGATGAATTAATATTTTGAATGATTTAACAGCATTAAACACACAATGTAAATACATCTAAATGCCAATTCAGATGCAGCTTCTGTGCCAAAGATGGGTTTTGTTGATACTGATTTCATCCGATTGTGTCTTATTATTCTAACTGAAATTATTGATTAAATGAAAGAATTTGTCATAAAAGATGATGCATGCATCTAGGTTAGAAAAATGTCCATGTAAAGAAAAGAAACACCCCTGGAAATCAATTTAAGGGAGAAAATATCAGCTTGATATATGAAGAATAAAAGCTTTGTGAGTCAGTCAGGCCTAATCCAGTCAAGACAGACCAGCACAAAAACTCTACGACAAAATATCCTCATATTATCGTTATCAACAAAATCCCAGAAAATATTGAGATATGTGCCTAACAGTGAATATCTTGAAGAAAATACTTATGTTTTCTTTGAATAATTGTCTCTAAATAAGTGTAAAGATGAGGAAGAGTGTGTCCAAAGTTTAGTTCCTGCCAAGCTTTTTTTCCAATATTAATCATCTCTAGAGTTTTTTTTCCCTTGCCGCTGTTGCCTTTAACTACCACTATAGGGGATGTTAAGATGTTTTTTGAAAAAATTAACTACGTCCTTTTTTTTTAACGTGTTGTAAACCACTTTTGATAATATTTTGACTGTAATATTTTGTTGGTTTTTAATGACCTATTTTTATATGAAATGGAATTGCGAATATATTCATATTCAGGAAAAAACAAATTCTCAGGTTTAAAAATAAACTCTAGCTGCTCTAAACATTATGCAGAGCTGTATGTGGTGCTCAGAAGCCAAGAGAAGCACAGTGTTTGATGACCTTTACACTCCTATTGTAATGGCTTTTTCATGACCTCACTGTGAACGTGTGACGTTTTTTATCATCTAAAATCTCCAAAATGTGAGCAGTCATGTCTTATGAGGACAGATATTGTGGTTTTTGTACTATTCTGCTTTGAAGGGATATTGCAGATCAAGCATTGTAGATCTGTAGATTATTGTAGATCTGAGTGAATATGGTGATACAGCTCTCCAGTATACGGTAATCCCTTTAAAACTATGTGAATTGAACATGTCTTCCTCATTTCAGTATGCTAATGTCTACAGTATCTGTCAGAATCAATCCATCATGCTGGAGTATTGTTGGGATAGTTTTAGGTTTATTGTCCATTAGTTTTCATTCAGTTATTTTCTGTTGCTCAGGATTGCTTTGCTCAGGGTATAAGAGGGAAATGAACTGTTGATATGGTCATACTTGATAAAGTTGTTCCCGTCTGTATATTTAAATGTTAATAAATAACTGCCTGCTTAAAAAGCTTTGAGCGTCTTTCCTTTCATCACTGATGTTTTTCACCTTTTCAGAATTGCTGCGTAAGCTTCCTGTCTTACATTACCTCAGAAAAATAGACTTCCTCCTTCAGTCCTTCAGAAAACACATGCACAGTAATGCAGTGATGACATGTGAACCGAGAACCAACATCATTTGTATTTGTACATTTTTGTAAATAACTTTTTATGTAATATTTCATGTAAAATAATTCATTCATCTCCCAGAATAGAGCTTAACTTGTATGAAACCTGTAATATTTATGATCATGGACTCACAGATCTACACACACTTATAGCCAAGATTTCCTCACCAAGTTTCTTTGCAAGCTAAAGTAAACCAGATATAACACATTTTTGAGATGTTATAAGATGTGTACAGGTTGCGATAAAAACAACAATAGCATTCATTATGATTATTATTAGGGGAAAAGTACAAATACGAAAGTTGCAACACTTGAACTGATAGAGACTATTATTCAATGCTTCATATTTCTCTGACGGAAGTGGAAACACTGTGGTTTAAGTGTCTCTGCATTGATCTGAAACCTATCGTTTTATCAACACCTTTACGAACAACAGACACAATGGAGAAAGTCATTTTCTTCTGTGTATTTTCTTGTTGGATTAACCAAATCACATCCAGTGGTAAATATATTCTATTTTAAGCATTCATAAAATTAACATATCCTCAAATTCAATAGATATAAACATACTCTAAAAGGATGAGTGTTTATCAATGTCTCTCCAGATTTGTCAGTTGGAGGATCTTCTGTTCTGAGAGTTCGGACGGGAGAAAACATCACTCTGAACTGCAGCATGAGGAACAGATATGAAGTCGCCTGGTATCTTCTCAGATCTGAAGAACTCGTTCTGCTGATTTCTGCAGAGAAGGACAAAAACGGGAGAAAACTCCTGAACAACTACAATCCAAACAGCAATCGTGTGAAAATTACAGCAGACAGTTGGGTCACCAGAGTCTCTTTAACTATTACTGGAGTAACAGAATCAGATTCAGGACTTTATTTCTGTGGGATAAAGTCTGACGCTCCAGAGATGCACTTCGACAAACCCATCAGACTGGAGATTGAAGGTACCAGATTTCAGTTTTCCCCATCATATCATCACAAACTAGACAATGTAGGAGGGAGTGGGTAAGATGAGCCACTCAAGACGAGATCTGAACATGATTTAGTGGTTTGTGTTGTGACTGACAGCATGCAGTACATGAGAAGATATAAACTTAGCATTAGACATTGCTTAACTAACCCAAATTTTACAGTTAATTGAGGCAATTAAAAAAATGGTCATAAAAACTAAAGTTACAGAAGCAGGTTTTTGTGTGTGTGTTCATATATTTATGGATAAACATATAATATATTCACAGGTCTTTTTGTAATAGAAGAGACGAATGCAGAAGTTGAAATCACAGGTAATGTTTTGCTTGTTCAATTATTTTTTCTATTTGTTGTAACTGCTCTTCTGTGGAGATCCGGCACTAAATGTTGTATCAATGTGATTAACTCTTCCGTCTCTGTAGACGAGGTGACGGTGACGGAGCGTGTGTTGATGTTCGCTGGTGTTGGACTGGCTGTGTTTGTGTTTTTTCTGGCTACAGTCGTCGCAGGAGGAATCATTTACCATCGCGGACAGCAGAAAGGATGGAAAGCAGCAAAACGTGCATCTATGATGAGCCACAAATCAGCTAAATGACACAATCATGTGCTTTATTTGACAATCTGAGCTTTGCACTGCCAGTAAAATAAGCTTTGCTGTAGGGAAACACAAATGGCAACAGACAACTTTGGCTCAGATGCTTTTCCTGTTTGTCAGATTTCACTTCAAGAAAACTGAAGCTGAGATGTTGTGGTAAAGGTCGCCTTGATTCAGCACCAGTGAAACTTGAACCGGCTTTAATGGTTGTGGGGATTATTCAGGTTTGTGTGATTCAGTAAATGTTCAGTTAGATTTTAAAGTGCTGTCTTTAATGTAGTGTTTTTCAAAGCAAACAGTTTCTTCTTAATGCAAACAAAAGCTTTAAAACCATTAGACCAGCAGGACTCGTGATAAAAATCAACATTGTGTCTGGCTATTTTACACATTATATATTTTTCTAGAGTAGCATTAATATGTACATATAAGCTGTTTTCATAGTGAAAATATAAATGTAAATCTCTTCTGTGGCACATAAAGCTTGATTTAATAAAAATGTCAGATGAATTCAATGAAAAATGTGTTGTTGGGAGATCTGAACAAATAAACAGCAGTAAAACCAAGAAATGATGTGATTATATGTGCATTTTCTGGCAGAAAACATCATCATTAGCAAAGCTAAACCTCTTCACATAACTGTAAATTCAGAGATGTTAGATCTGTTCTCTCACTTTCAGAGAGAAGGTTTCACATCATTGTCATGCAATGCAGAGTAATGATTTCCTGACTGACTGCATTATCTTGTTGCAACTAAAACCACAAAATATGAGGTAGGGGTGATGACAAATGTCATGCTGACTTTAGAAGGGCAAATAAAGTAGTGTGTGTGTGTGTGTATACCCGCGAAAACCAGCGCCTTCGTTTGGTACGAGCGGTTTGGTCTCCTTTTAAGGCTTAAAGAAAGGATTTGTGCCAATGACATTGGCAGCTGGAAATGCAGAGGAATGGCCCGACTCCATGCAGGACTCCACACATCACTCTAAAAATATGGTTTGTCCAAATTTGACCCAAACATGGGTTGAAACAACGGTTTGGTCCCGGAAACACCTCAGTTCTGTTTACTAGTGACACGAAGACTTTCGCAGAAAGGTAAAACATTTCTTTCAAACACATGTTGTGTTTCCTCTTTCAGATCTTCATTCCCCCCCGTGTCGTCACTCGTCAGAGAGTCATTTTATTATATATATATAAGTCTCATCCACATAATCTTTGACTTTGCCTGAAATAATAAAACCGATTGCCAAATTAAGTTAAAAAAAAAGAAAAGAAAAAAAAGGGTAAATTATAGGTTGGTTATTATAGAGGATTCTTCTCATCCCTTACATTCTAAATTTCTGTTGAAACAACCCATCATTTTTTAGAGTGTATGGATGTGTCCGGCCCACACTTTCAGAAAAAAGG